GTTAAGAATACCTATTATTATAAATATAGATTAAAAGAATTAAATATATCTTTACAGTAATATTCCAAGAAACTTACGGAAAATAGGTACAGCGCCTTTAAGATAGTGTAAAATTAAATAAGTATGATATGAAACAGATATCAAAGTACGATTTTAGTTACCATCGCAAACAGCACACGCCGATATTCCTTTCTGCCAATACTTTTCTTCACCAGGAAGATTCAGTCTTTTTGCAGCAGCACCAGTGGCAATAATAAGTGCATCAGCGGTATCAGGTTCTTGATCTTCATTATTTTCACGCCAAAGTTTAAACGGACGTGTAGAAATATCAATTTTTGATATGGTTTCAGTGTAAATTGTTGTGCCGAATTTAATGCTTTGCTCCCGAAATTTATCCATCATCACCGTGCCCATTATGCCTTCAGGAAAACCGGGATAATTTTCAACTTCAGTGGTTGTAGTTAGCTGTATAATGTAAAAAGATACAAAAACGTGTCAGAGGTATTTTTTGAAAGAAAAATCATTATGAAATAATAGAATTATATTTTGAAATAAAATATATTCCATAAACATAAAAATATCATTAATTCATACTTGACCACCAGCAGCGAAACCGTTCGCAAGGAATCCCTCAAACATAACAGGTTTTAGGGTTGCTCGGGACAAGTAAAGTGCGGCCGTATGCCCAGCAGGACCAGAACCTATAATTACAACCCTGGAGTGCATTTTGTTTCTCTAAGTTATCGAATATTGCTTATAATCGCTTTAATTGATAATATACGTTTATCCATCGACGAACGAAAATTTCGCGAATTTATTGAAATCTGATGTTTCACAAAGATTTTTTGTGGATGCTTACTAATAATATATGTACGTACGCGGAAATACAGAAATAGACAATTGTAGATATATATATATGTATAAGATACTTAATTTAGTATCATATTGAAATTTCTTAATTTCCATTTTCTTTCACCTACAGTAGTAAACATAAATTAACAATAATAACGACAAGAAAAATTGATCTGCTTCTGATATTACTAATAATTATGCAGATAATGCACAGATACGTCGTTGCTTTATTAACAAGTGAAAAAAAAGGTAACGTTTTTAATACATAAGTTACGGACCTCTAACAAATTGTCTCAGTTCCCGCCCAAAAAATAAGAAAATCGACACACTACACCCTTTTGGTATGTATCTCATAAAACACAAACAAGAAAAACAAACCAAACTTCAAGAAAGGACCATACACTGCAAGCATACTACTACACAAAATCACGAAAAATATAACATATGATTCACCTCGCGTGAACCGGTTACTTCACGTGTATCTATTCATCATGGGCGACTACAAGTCACTCTCTTTATAGTGAAGTCCACGGGCTGTAAAAATTTCTTCAATATATTGCAGTATTGAGAAATTCACTATATCGAGAGCCTTTTAATATAGTAAAGGCAATAATCAAATATATTATATATATCTATCAATTTTAATTGGTTAATAATAAAATATTATATAACTAGTTATATATATATAATAAAATCTTCACTATAATATAAGATATTTTGATATAAAAATCTTCGCTATAGCTTATATCGAGAGTTTACTATTTAGCTTCATTATATAGAGCGAAAATTTATTAATAATGATTCTGTTCTAAAAAAATTGTTCACTATAAGCCAATCTTCACTATATCGAAGTTCACTATAACGAGAGTGACTTGTAAGTCGCAAACAAGTAATCTATTTCGCAAAAAATTATACAAAATCTGGATTCCAGATGTAAAATCAAACACAAACGCAACCAGCACAAAGAGATATATAGCTAACCCATATCCAGATATCAACAAAATCACCTAACTTTGTAAATACTATCATGGATTAAATGAGGTCTTTGACCTCATTTAGCAAAGTATGGGTCGTAGGTAAAATAGCCTAAGCTTTAGTTTTTAGGAAAATATATAGTATATATATATGATATATATATACTAAAATGTATTATAGTTAATAACAGATAAAGAATTGAGGCAAAACCTCGCTTTAAAAAAAAAGAAAAAAAAAGTTATTCTTAATTTTTTAATAAAGAAAGAATTTTATGCATAATAATGAGAAAATATCTGTTGCGTTATTTGAATTCGACCAATACACATTTGGTAAATTTTTGAGGGTAATGGAATATGAAATGCATTATCGGAGCTTTATTTCCGCTTTCTGTATTTTTCATTCATGCAGTAGATAATTGATATGTTTTAACACTCGTATAAAATTTGGCCAAATTGATGTTTTAATCTATTCCTTCTAAGTATGGATTTAGGAAATACCCAAATGTCATCCAACGATAAAGGTGATGATCCGTCTCCTGAGAAGATTGATTTTCACATCTCAAATTGTTCGCCAGAGCCTTCTCGATCTACAGGATCTGTAGATTCTTTACAGCCCTTAACGCAATCAAGTAAGATTCAATCTGATCCTAGAGTCTCTGAAAATGATGATTCTTCGAGTCATGGAATGACATTCGGCGATAGCGAAGATATATCCGATACACAAGATGGACGTGTCGATAAGGTAGGAAAAAAAAAAAAACGTGTAGATCCTTTCCTATTTGAGCTTCTATTTAAAAAATTGCGTATTTTTTACGCGACATGTTTTAATGGTTTTAGGTCATTATGGCGGTCAATCTTAGAAATCGTAAATTAGGATGCGCATATTACAACGTCGCCACTTCTAAGTTATACCTTATGGAGGATGTAGCTGAGTCACCACCATATGATATGGTGAATTTATGTGAGTTAGTTTGCTTGCTTATCAAAAGAAAATTAGGTGTAGATATCCTTATTCAAATTTCCTCAAAATTAGTGCGATTTCAAGTTTCACCGTCTATAATTCTTGTCAGTTCTCGTGCAGACGATGCATTTATCCAAGCTTTGCAGGCAGAAGGTAAAATGTGTATATTTATCGATTTAAACATTATTAATATTTAACAAGATTTTAATATGCCATTTGTATAATTTATAATAGATGGTTCGACTCTTATTCCCTATATTGTAGAGATCCGTCCAGGATCTGAATTCATTTACGCATCTGCGAAAACAAAATTATTTTCCATTCGTTTGGGCGATCAAGGGCACGTGCCATCACATGCCGAAGCTAGCAAACAAGAGATATATTTACATTTATCTAGTATCGTGAACCTGGAGAGCAGCGAAACAGTTAATAATTGTATTTTTCAATATCTTATAAAATTTTAAAAAACTCAAAATTTCTCATATTGAGTTGATAGGTATGCTGTGCTGGGGCTTTGATTAATTATATTTCAAGGGCTAAAATAACTGGTGCTTTATCTGAAGATCTGCAAGTTGGCGTGTTGGGCATAGAACAATTTTCTTTGTAAAAATAAATTTACTATAGATCATGATAAACAATGTTGGAATTGGACTTATTTCCAAATGTGATCTCTTACAGTATAGGTGGCACTACTCTATAATCAATTCATAGTATCACTTATACTGCAAGAGACTACCGTACAGATGATTCAAACGTTAAGTCCAATGCCAACACTGACAGTAGTAAACTCTTATTTATATTTTCTTTTTTTTTTTTTTAAAAAAAAAAAAAAGAAACAAATTTCTACATATCAATGCAGATACGTTAAGGTAGATTTTCTTTTGCTTGAGAAACTTGTGGAGTAGTAATAAGCAATTTAAATAATTATGGTATCTCTCTAAGTTCTCTTCAAATATTTGAAGATGAGTCACATCCAAATATGCATATGCAAGCAAAATCAAAAGAGGGATTATCACTTTTCGGTAAGTTTCTTGGAATATTACTGTAAAGATATATTTAATTCTTTTAATCTATATTTATAATAATAGGTATTCTTAAC